AGATGTTGCTCAAAACAGGGTTTGTGAAAGAAAGGCAACAAGGGATGCAGCAAGTAGGGGAGCAAGCAGCCCTTTGCACCAACTACACTTCAGGAAAAAACTACCTCTCTCCCCCCATTAGGGAGACAAGAACAGGTTGTATGCAGTTTAATAACATTTAAACCTTTATTTCAGATCACAAGTAAAGCAGGTCTTGGCTTCACAAAAGCACATCTTGGTTTAACTAATTAATTTGATAATCCACTATTTGCAATCCTCAGGAGACATTCAGCTTCTAAAGCAAGTAATTACCACTAAGTGGCAACCTCTTTGTGAGGCCCACCCTGATTAGGAAAAAAATTTCTTAAGCCAGAAATATAATCACAGTGTGATTTCCCAGAAGGACTGAAGGAGAGACTACATAACAACAGCTGGTCACGCTCACCATCTGAAGGAACAGAAGCAACTCAATTACCAGGTCTCCAGCTACAATTCAAGATGTTGTTCAGTGCCACGTGCAACCATGGCCTGCAGTTAACCATCAGGAAGTCTTACAGGAGGTGTTTTGTAGGGACAGAAATCAGGAAGGTCCCACTTGGGGGAGCTCAAATATCCATGTGTGCCACAAGGGAAAGAAGGGAGAGGAATAAAATGGTTTTCTAAATTCACACATCAGGCTGGCTGCAGCACATATTGAGAGAGGTGATTCTCCCTCTCTGCCCCCATGAGTCCTGCCTTGGAGTACTGCATCCAAGTCTGGGGTCCTCAGCATAGGAATGACATGGACCTGTCAGAGCAGGTCCAGAAGAGGCCACAAAGATGATCCTAGGGCTGGAGCACCTCTTCTGTGTGGACAGTCTGAGAGAGAACTGTTCAGCCTGCAGCAGAGAAGGCTTTGGAGAGATCTTAGAGCCCCTTCCAGTACTTACAGGAAGCTTATAAAAAAAGAAAGTTTTTATGCAGGCAGAGAGTGATAGGACAAGGGGGAATGGTTTTAAGCTAAAAGAGGAGAGATTTAGATTAGGTGTTAGGAAGAAATTCTTTACTCAAAGGGTGGTGAGGCAGTGGCTCAGGTTGCCCAGAAAAGCTGTGGATGTCCCATCTCTGGAAATATTCAAGGCACAGTTGGACAGGGCTTTGAGCAGCCTTGTCTAGTGAGTGGCATTCCTGCCTGTGGCAGGGGGGTTGGAACTTGAGGTCCCTTACAAACCAAACCATTCTGTGATTCTAAGTCCAAGCTCACGGTGTGCAGTCCCAGAGAGAAGCAGTGCAGGCAGGGCAATATCAGCCTTACAGCCTCTGCCCAGATATGGAGGCACACCTTGATGACACACAGAGTGTTCCCAGACAAACCATCTGGACTCAATCCATGCAGAGTACTTGCTGGTTAGCTCCAGGCATCCCCAAGTGCCCAGGGTTTTGGCTCAGCTGGCATCAATCATTGCCAGAGTCCACAGGACAAAGTCCTGCTTCTGCACTCATCCAAGACACCCGTCTTAGTCTGAGCAACTTTGGGCTCCTTTAACTTTGGGCCAGGGAGGGGACACACAGAAGTGCACCCAGGCCTTATGAAGTGGCCATGCTACACACAATTCTTGGGTTAATGCTGCTGCAACAGTGTCTAGAAGTTGAAGCTATGAACACAGCTGGCACAGGGCAGGAGCTTGGATGGAAACCTGGCCTCCTGCACAATCAGACACCATCCCAGTGCACCCACACGCTGAGGGTGTTTCCCCATTGCACTGGACTCCCCTCTTGGGTGCTGAGTCTCAGCATTCTGGTGCTTCGAGTACTAGGCAGGTGCATTGGTCGGCAGGATGTGACCATACTGGAGAAAATATCCCAATCCCCCACAAGAGCCTGTAAGACACAGAACCAAGCAGGGACACATCTCTGTGAGTGTGGAGTCAAGAGAGCTTAAATGGTTTAAGAGGAGCTACTTGTCTGTCTCCCGAGAGTTTAGGTATTGCCTGCCTTTCCTGAGAACAAAGTGCTCTTGGCTTAGAAATCCAGCTGTGGTTTTAGGACTGCTGCTTCAAAACTCACCACAGTCTCTGAACAGAATAGGTCAGCTTTTTCTGAAGAGCAGCCTAAAAGCGACCCATCTCTGTCCAGTTCCCAGATATTTAATGGCACAGAAGAGTCATCTGTTTACCTTCCCTCCTGGCAGAGATGTTGCATGCCATTTAGCCCCACAGCACATGTTTACTGTACTCTCCGAGACAGCACGCTCACCTCTGAGCCAGACGTGCCAGCGGGCACCCACACCCTTCCTGCCTGGCCCCTCCCCACAGACAAGGGACTCGTGGGACACAGGGTCACACACTGCTGCAAATTCCACCCTCAGCACAGCTGCCAGGGCCTGCTCCTCTTTCCAGGTCTGCTTGGCAGAGCAAGCATTGTGGTGACAGACAGACACTCCCCACCATGGCTCCACGCCACCAGCAGCCCCCACTTGTGTCCCTGCTCTGTGCCCAGCTCACCCCAGAGCAACCAGCACCCGTGAGACACCTGCCCAGCCCGCACCAAGAGAAGTGGGTACATCCCTTAGAGGATGCCACTGAGCACCACCGTTACCAGACAAGGGCTGGGACACTCTTCTGATCTGGAGACCCATCCCTTCTCTTCCCAAAACCAACCTAAATCCAACTATGCCCTGCTAGGAGGCAGGGCTGGCAGCTCTAACCAGGGAAGCAAGGGCCCCCTCTCCAACCACTGGCTGCAGTGTCTGCTCCACAGTTTGCAGAGCCAGGGCCAGCTCCCAGGTCCTACCTGGGGTGACAGTCAGGGACTCTGATCCAGGATCTTTGATCCCCAGAACTGCTATTCCCCTGGGTGCACGCCCTGCCAAGCTCCCATCCAGCCCTTCCAACCCTCCCAAACCCCACACTTACAGCCAGCATTTGCAGAGCTTCTGCCCAGCAGATCCCGACAGATCTTGCAAACCATTCTCCCATGGCAGAATGTCTCCAGAGAGAAGGAAAGCTCCCACCTGCCTACAGGTTGCTTCTCCAGAGCAGGCAGGCAACTGAGTTAGCTCAGCACTCCCTGGGGCAGAGCAATAGCCCCAAGATGTATCTCCAGGTCCAGTCAGTGCCTTATAGAGCTGCATGGGCGTTCCCTGGCACCAGCTGTCATGGTGCCTGGCACAGCTGGGCTGTGTTGCCCACTGAACTCAAGCAGTCCCTCTGTGAGTCCTCCAGGTGCTTCTCAAAGTGCCCTTAATCCAACTGGTATTTCCAACGGGGGAATGACAACCTGCTCAGGTCTGACAGTTTCCCCAGATAGAGAAGAGAGCTGCTTTGTGCCCCTCTAGCCTTGCCCAGCTGGTAGCAAAGGGGAAATATCTCAGTCCTCCAGCAGCTCTGCCAGGCTTCAGACTGACGTTCAAGTCACTCTGCAGTGACCAAAGAGCAGTTTGGGGTCAGGGTCTTCTCCCCGGGGGAGTCTGGAGCCAACTCTGCTGACTGCAGATCCAGAGCACTGAGAAGGCTCCTGATATGCCCCTGGGAAGGGCTGGTTTGACAGGAATAGGAGCAGTCTGCCATGGAACATCCACAGCTGGCAATTAGAGGAGTGAACCTCAGGGAATGCCTAGAGCAAGGATGCCAGGCAGGAACACAGAGCAGGTAGGACACAGGGCACAGTGAGGGGGTGGTGTGATGTGGATCACAGCTGCTCTACCAGGGACCCTTTTTCCCAGTGTGGGCTGGAGGAAGAGGAAGCACCAGGAAGCAGCATATGACTGACATGCTGTGAGCTGGTTCCAGCTGGGGTGGGCACCTCCCCTCCCTGGCACCAGGGCTGGAGAGCATCGGCAGGAAACGCTGTGATTCGATGGCATCAGCAGCAATAACAATGTGCCTCCTGAAGGAGATGAGCAGCTTCCCCTCCAGACGGGCAGGGCGGAGGGCTCCTGCCTCCTGTCAGCAATCTGTCCTCTCTTCCTTCCATCATATTGCTGCTGTCTTCCTCCTTGCAGGGGAATCTGCTCCCAAATCGCGACAGGGTGAGGCCAGCGACACAACAGCCCCGGGAAGGCTGGAGGAGCTCAGACCCCTCCGGGGCTCAAACAGGACTGGGGCCATGAGCCTTTGGAGGAGCCTGGTGGGAGGAGGGACGAGTGGGTCAAGAGCTTCCTCCCTAACACAGAAACACCCAGGTCCAAGTGTGTGTTCTTTGCAACTTTTTTTCCTTTATAGAATCATACAATGTTAAGAAGTTGGAATAGACCTTAAAGATCATTCTGTCCCGAGCCCTCTTGCCACAAACAGGGACACCTCCCACTAGAACAGACTGCTCAAGGCTTTATCCAAACTGGCTTTAAACACTTCCAGGGCCGGGACAACTACAGCCTCCCTGGGCAACATGTTCCAGTGTCGCACCACCCCCACAGTGGAAGAAGCCTTTGGTTTTGGGTCATATTTTGCAGCCCCTGCCTGCGTTTGCTGCCGGGTGAGATGAAGGTGTCTGAGAGAGTGCGAGCTGGTGACGGACCCTGGGCATCGCACCCGCCATCAGGAGAGCGGGAGGGAGCTGTGCAGCCGGGGCTGGCACACCAAAGGAGGCCTGAAACTGCCACATGAATATTGTCTGTTCCCTTAAGTCCAGCCCGTCACGGAATCCCCGCGGCCTTTGAGCCGCGCTCCGCCGCACCCGCCCCGCCGGGGGCTCCCTGAGGGGGCGCGGCGCCATCTTGGCGGGCGGGCCGGGGCGAGGCCTCGGCGCAGGGCGACACCTGCCGGCGGCGGTGGGCAGCGCGGCCGCTCCCGCTGTGCCCGCGCACCGAGCTCCGCGCACCGAGTCCCGTGCCATTCGAGCTCCGCGCACCGAGCTCCGCGCACCGAGTCCCGTGCCAGCCGAGCTCCGCGCACCGAGTCCCGTGCCAGCCGAGCTCCGTGCCAACCGAGCTCTGCGCACCGAGTCCTGTGCCAGCCGAGCTCCGCGCACGGAGTCCCGTGCCAGCCGAGCTCCGCGCACCGAGCCCCGTGCCATTCGAGCTCCGCGCATCGAGTCCCGGGCCAGCCGAGCTCCGCGCACCGAGCCCCGTGCCAGCCGAGCTCGGTACTCAGCCAGCTCCGGCCCCTCTTCCGACCCTCGGTGCGTTGCCTCCCTCCCCGTCCCCCGATCCCCGCCAGTCTGGGGCGGTTCGGTTGCCTTTGGGCAAGCGGCACCCCACGTGGAGCTGTATTTATAGATAAATCCAAGCACAGCGAGGTAGCTGCCTGACTTTTCCCCTTCTTCATTGCACTCCTCAGTCTGTAATTTCCTGTTTGCTTTTAAAGCTATTTTTACTAAGGAAAAAGAAAGTTTAACGTTTTTAATACTTCTATCTATTCACTAGCAGAATAAAGCAAAGATCGGAGTGAACCTAGCGGGGGTCATGGATTAACTGCCCAGCAGCACCTGTCCCACCTGTGTGCCCCACAACCCTTCCATCCCAGCACATGTGGCTGTGCTCCTGCACTGGCTGGCTCCTATCAGCCAGCCCCACACCACGTAGGAAAGCTTACTAGCCTTCACAGTTGTTTCTTTTTTATTTCTTTCTCTGTCTTTCTGGGTACCTTTCTGAAGATTTTGCCAGCTTTCTCCATAAATAGAAGAGGGTAGGGATGTCTACTGAAAACACGTGTGTGTACATGCACATATGTGGTAGAGAAGAGAATAAATATCCTGGCCCTTGGGAGACTGGGATTTCTGAGAGAGCAGGAAGAACCCAGTTGTCCAGGAGAAATCTGGAGGGGATAACTCCTGCACAAGTGATACTCCCATGGTCCCAGCACAGCCATGCCTACAGGAGGGCTCTTAAGGCTCTGAGCCCACAGCTCATCCAGCTGTGAGAGCCTCAGAGACCCTAAACTGCCTGGCAGCCACACATGGTGAGGCCTCAGGTGAGTGCACAGCCAGAAGCCAACTTCCCCCTGCCGGCCAAGGGGCCAAAGCAAGGCTTTAAATGGCTCTCCAACAGTGTGGGCTTAGCTGGGCTTCAGGAGGCAAAGCTTGTGTGCAGGCAGGGATTGCCCTGCATTGCTGTGACAGAGGAAAGCACAGATACAGCACAACTACTGCAAGGTTTGGTCATTACCAGTACCCTGTGGCCTTTCCAAGCCCTTCTTCCTGGGGTGATTGGTGGTCTGAGGTAGACCAGATCAACTGGGCTGGTGGTCACCTCCCCAAAGTGTCCTTAGCACCCTCCCTCCCTCTCCAACTAACCCGCCAACACATTTCATTTACCTTCAGGACAGCCTGGATGTGTGGCCACAGATGCCAGGAGAAGATGAGGTGAGAGGAGCCCAAGTGGCTTCTTCAGGGATCCTTGCCTTCCAAGGGGCGATGAGGAACAGCTGTATCTGGCCCCAGGGAAGATCACAACTCCTGGTACTCATAAAATCCAAGTCCCCACCACGTTGCCTTCCACTCTGGCTCTTCTGCAGAAATCCCCAGGAGTAGAAACCTCATTGCGCAGTCCTCAGGGATTCCTACAGTTTTATTTGCTCCTCCAGGGAAAAGCGAGGAAGTCTGAGCCACGAAGGAAGGTGTGGATCACCCCGCCCAGCTCCTGCTGACCTAGAGGTCCCTCTGCTCTTGCTGTCCTCAGCCTGTCCCCTTGCACAGCCGAGGGGCTGGCTGCACACCAGCCGGAGGGGGAGCACAAAGGCTCTCCCATCCCGGCCGCTGGAAAGCAGCATGGGAACCGCTGCCCAGCGCGGATCTGTTCCTCATTATCCGCCCCGGCTGCCTGAGCCCGGCTCCGTCCCGCCCGCTCGCATCCCGCCGGCCGAGCGGCTCCTGCGCACCTGGGGTCCGCATCCCCCTGCGGATAACCCAGCGGGAAAACGAGTTATTCCCTTCCCACCAGGCAGAGGAGGCTTCCAGGGAGCAGGGATCGCTGCTTCAGGTGCGAAGAGCGGGAAGGAAAACACAGAATTCAGTGTTTGGTCTGATTGCAGGTGGGATGGACGGATGGACATGAGGAGGCAGGAGCAAGGAACAGACTGATGTGTCTCCGAAATATTTGTACCAGATACAACCAAACTGAACACCTCTTCTGAATTCTTCTGCATTTGCCTTCCTGCTGCTCTCCATGAGAACATGAGCGTGGCCAAAGCCTCTGCCATGCTTTGTGTGAGAGGTGAGGAGCTGGCTCCTAGTCACCCACTTCCCCCTGCTTCTGCCTGTATAGAGCAGTGTGAAAACCTCCCAAGAGGGTGTCAGAAGTGCTCCAGAAACAGAGCAGGATCAGCAACGACACATGTAAGTCAACTGCACCCTTGCTGCAGTGGAGAATGTGAAGCTGGCAGGTCCAAGAAAATTATTATTTCTTGGATTTGGTGCCTGTGAGACACAAGTGGGTGCTAGTTCCAATTGGGGGCTTCCCAAAAGAACATATATATTTATACATATATACATGTATATATGTCAGAGAGAACCAGCTGTAAGAAGATAAGGCAGAGGAGAGCTACCAACAAGGTGGCACACAGAAGCCCAACTATTCCCAGAGAAGCACTTGGAAGAACAAGACAACCTGCCCCAGGGGAAATATTTACTGAGCACAAGGAGAAATTAATTCTGTGCAAGACTGCTGTAGCTGTGGTGTGGCTTTGGGATGGGGACAGTTGACACCTCCATCCTCAGGGACATTCCAAATCCAGTGGGACAGGGCTCCGAGCTACCTGGTCTAGCTTTGCTACCAGCCCTGCATGGAGCTGGGATTGGACCATGGGCTTCCCAAGCCCCTTCCAGTCTGAAATTTACCTGATGCTCCAATGTGCATTGTGCAAAAGCAATGTGGTGATTTTAAGACTCACTTGTGAGATGGCCAAGATCAATCCCTCTTCCACACAGCTGATGTCAGATCTGCCTTACATCCCCTGCTGACTTCACAAGTTTTGCTACCACAGAGGAACTGGAGGAGCTGAGTGCTGGAGAAAGCAAATGCCTGTGGGAAAAAAGTGTGGGTTTAATGGCAGGCTTTAAACAGAAGCCTGGGTGCAAAATGATATGTCTGTGATAGTCTGCCCTGGGATGGGGTTGCTGACAGTCACAGTTGGAGGGTTGTGTGTTCTGGGTTAGAGTCTGACAAGCAGCTCCTGTGGCTGTGCCTTACTCTGTCCTGGAGAAGCAGAAGTTTGGGCACATGCATTCGTGGTTTGGCCCACTCTTCATGTTTTTCCACTGAAGCACTTCAGTATTTTTAGGCTGAAAGAGAGGACTCTGCTATGCTGGAAGGACCAGAGCAGTTCTGTGCAGGCAGGACACTCCAAGGTGAAGTACAAGACTAAAAACCAGCCAGGAGCCACCATCCCTGCTCACAACAAGGTGGTGTTGAGGGTGGGAAGAAGGGGCTCCAAGCTGCTGGCTGGTGGCATGGAGAGCCTGCACACACATCACTGCTAGGCTCAGATGTCTGGATGAGAGAGCAGCAACCAGCCCCAGCATTTCCTGAAGCTGAGATGTCTGCTTTCCCTCCTCTGAGGACCTGGAGGACGCAGACCCACCTCTTCCAGGAAAGCACCTGGCCCACACAGCCTGGTGTGCTGCCAAGGTGATTGTTGCAGGCGATGCTGGCACTGGGGCCCAGCACACAGAGCACAGCTCAGCCAGCAGCGTTGGTGGTGGATGCAAGGCAGATGGGGAATGTCACAAGAACCAAGAGCTTCCAGAGGGCCCAGTGCAAGCTAACAGGGCCAGAAGCTGTATTTGACCCTGCCAAAAAGAACCAGGGGTTGATGGTGGATGCCAGGTTCAATACAAGCCAAACATCTGCCTTGTGAATCAAGGAAACCACATTTAATTTCCTTCAGGAAAAGCAGAGCCCAGGAGATCAAAGGGAAGAGCAAAACCAGTACACACTGATGCAAGGAGGCTCCTGTGACCCAAATACCCTGAAACAGACCTCTTTAAAACATATTTTTGGCAAGGAGAGAGGAGATGGGAAGACATGGGCTCTCAACACGCTGGTGGCTGTGCAGCCCCAGTTCTGGGCAGAAGGGCCTGGTCTCTTGCTGGCTGCTCCCTCTGCACAGCCTAACAGCAGCTGCAGGCAAGCATCTCTCTGGAAAGAATTTCACATTTTCCACAAACTTTATGGAAACCAGGAAATCCAGTTAGGCACATCAGGAGAGGGGGGTTGGGGCCTCGGGTGGAGAACGGAGAGGCACAGGGACGTGGTGCCTGCAAAGGAGAACCAAACCAGGATGGGCAGAGGGTCCCAGACAACAGACAGACCAGACCACAACGTCTGCTCCAACTCCAATTTATTGAACATTACAAAATACTCTGCATATATTTTCACATTATAACAATATCCTTGCAAATAATATATTAAGTCTTGAGTCATTTGTGGTGCCCATGGCTACAGAAAACACTGACCCAACTAGAGATTTAGTATGGCCCAATATCAGAAATCAAAACTAGAGTAAGTCATACCAGAAATGCAAAACTATATAAAAACCTTTTAAAAACCTCATGCTCGTCTGGTGGAACAGGTACAGAGCTGAAGGGCCTCTGCTGACAGGGCTGAGGGTCCCATCAGCTCACCTGCTCCACATTGGCCTCATCCACCCAGTGCATCCAAGTGTCCCCTTGGCACCTGCTGTCTCAGCACACCCATACAGCTGGAAAAGGCAGGCTTTTATCTGCTTTGTAGCATTATCAGTCCAAGTCCCCATTTTTCCCAAAGAGGAGTGACCCCAACCCCCTTGCTCTGCCAGTGCCCACCCATTGTGCTCTTTTGTGTGCTGAGCAGTTCTTGGGGTGCAGTATTTGGCCCTTGGGCTCACACCAGAAATAATTCATCGTGTGGGCCACCAGCTCCCATCACTCTCCGAGGAGGGAACAGGGGTGGCTGGGATGCAGGTGTTGGGGACAGGCCTGTGAAGATGAACACTGGTCACACCCATCACCCCTGCTCCTGATGTACATTCATACCTGCTGCTTGCACCACCCCTGGCACCATGGCCAGTCCTCCCAGCTGATGCACCCCAGGCAACTGGGAGACTCAGATGTGGGCAGAATGAACACCAAAGACGCTGTGCAGGGCAGCTGCCTGCCAGTAAAGCCAGAAAGCTGAGCACTGCAGCTGCTGGGAACACACCCAGGCTGGCACAGCAGGTTGGCTGTCAGAGGAGTCCCTGTGCGTACAGGTTCACTAGCCCAGCTCCTGCTGGAGCCAAACCCCAGGAGCGCTGCTCCCAGTCCTGAGAAAGCCATGGCCTCGCCTCTGTGGTGCCTCCATAGCCCGGGGAACACGGGGCTGTCTGGAAATGAGCCCATCTCTGAGCTCCATGCATGTGGGGAGCCAGCATGAAGTCAGTGGCTCAGTCACTGCGTGTGGGTGGGCTCTTGCTGCTCTCACCCCTTTTCCCAGAGGTCTCCTCCTCACAGCCAGGCTGGAGACCAGCTCACTCTTACACCTGTGAGCAAGCCACAGCCCATTTTCCAGCAGCCACCACCTCAAGGCAGCACAGCCATGACAGGATCCAGTCTGTTCAGGATCCCAGCCCTGGGAGAAACATCTCCAACCTCCCAGCTGCAGAGATGTGTAGGGACCAGAGAGGAAGAACGAGCTTTGGGATCTGTGCCTCCCTGGGTGTCACAGCACAAAGACCAATTATTGACCAGGTTTGCATCAGTAGGTGCATGGGCAAAGCACACCCTGGAGAGCAGCTCCAGCAGGAGTACTGGCTTCTCCTGCCACTCCTGGAGTTTATGGAGACACACACAAGCTTTGCAGTGCAAAACAGAGCAGTCACCAGGTCATAGCCTGTCTGCAGCACTCAGCCCCTTCCCAGTCCACAGGGTGCCTCAGAGGTGGCTTGCTCTGTTGAACATCAGCCACCTGGGCTCTGCAGAGGGTGGCATCCTGCCCTGCTCCTCTGTGGCCATCAAAGGCTGCAGCTCCTGCTGCTCAGGACCGTCCGGGCTGCTGTCGCTCTGGGACCGGCCGCTCTTGGAGACGTGGCTGGGGAACTGGAAGCAGGAGCTCTGCTCTGGCATCGCCTGGCTTGCAGACTGGGGCTGCTCCTCCAGCACAGGGCAGGCAAATCTCCTGTGCTGATGTCCGCTCTCGATGCCTGGGGGGGAAGCGATGCTCTCCAGGGAGGAGATGCTTTGGTTCCACGCCTTCTGCATATCCACTGGCACGATTTTGGTGGTCTCCGAGGAGACATAAACAGCCAGATCAGCCTGATCTCCTTTCCATGGCAGCTCCTTCTCTGCTAAGGTTGGCGATGGAGGGATGATGCAGGGGCTGGGGCAGACATCCAGGCTGCCTGGAGATGCAGATGGAGGGACAGTGAGAGGGAGCTCGCACAGCTCTCAGTCTCTCCTTGGACCCTGCAAACATTGCAGAACCAACCACTACCAAATGGCCATAGAACCCTAGAACCCACAAGGATTATGGAGTCCAACTCCTTGCCCTATGCAGAACAAGGACACAGGGAGGTTCTGCCATGCCTCTAGAGGACAGTGATTCTCCCATTCATGCTCTGTGGACCTTGCTTTTGCCCAGGCCATGGCAGCTTTGCTCCACAGGCAGAGGAAGGATAAGCTACCTGCTGGCAGCTGCCCCAGCATGGAGCATTGGTGCCTACCAGGAGTTGTCTTTCCCTGAAGGACCTCATCAGTGGCTCGAGCAACGAACACAATCCCCTCATCATCCTCCTTCTCCGTCTCTGAGCTATCACTCTCCTCCTCCTCTGAGCTGACCATCACCAGGACAGGAGCTGCAGGCAGATGGAGGGGCTCGGTTTGGTGCTAGCACAACCCTGGGTGCTGTCATCCCGCCGAGCTGGCAGTGGGCAAGCACAGCAGGTGCTCCCATCCCACGCCACCAGGTCCCCTTGCCAGGACCTGCCATCCTCACCTGCCACTGGCCTTACCTGCATCCTGCCAGGGGACAGTTCTGTGAGTCTTCCCGTTGAGCGTCTCTTTGGTCAGAGAGATGTTCTTCTGTGAAAGAAGAACTGGCTGAGACCTGTCCTGGGCAAAGCCCAAAACCAAAGAAGTGGTCCTGCAAGCCAGCCAGCACTGGGCATGCAGATTGCCACCCTGGCTAAATGGGATATGGTTTGCATCATCACAGCCCCACAAGGAACTGCTAAGCTGCAACGGCTTCAAAAGCCTCCAGACAAAGTAAAACACCTAAGGCTCAATTTGAGGTGCAGTGCCACACTTCTAGGCCTGGATCTGCACCAACGCTGAGACTGCTTTATGTTGAGTGCTCCTGCAAAACGAACCGGGGGCTCCTCCAGGGCTTTGCTCAGTGAAGAGCCACCCCACAGCACTGATGGCATGCTGGGGACACACGGACACACGACACCTGCATGCTCACACGCAGCATCAACAGGACTGAGAAGAGATGAGCCGTTTTCCCCTCTGGTTCTGGAGCTGCTGATGCCCTGCAACACCTCACCTACACCCCAAAATGACCTCTCTTACTGTATCCTGGGTTGGCCAAATCTCAGAGCTAGGAAAAGTACAGGAGCTTGGGGAGGACTTGCCTTTTTCCTGCCTTTTTCCTTCAGCCTGGCCTTGCTCTTGGAGGAGCAGACATTGTGCTTTGTGGACTTGAAGGTCTCCAGACGCCTCTTCATGTTCTGCCGGAAGATTTCTTTATCTTGGCGCTCTTGTTTATCTGGAGAGATGAAGTGACGGCTGTAGCTGGCCTTGTACTGGCCGAGGGAGAGGCAAAGAGAACAGGGTGAGCAGCCGGCCCCACGGAGCCCCGTGTCCATCCCTGCTCCTCCTGCGGGCGCTGCTCCCCTCGGGGTGGCCCGGCAGTGCTCACCCGCCGGCGGGGCTTGTAGAGGCTCCCTCGCAGCACATGGTGCATGGCAGCGTCCTCCTTGTCCCGGCGGCTCCGCACCGTGTCGATCACCTGCAGGTCCAGGCACGCGCCGCTCCCGCTCTCCCTCCTGCAGGAGATGGAGATGGATGGGTTGGGCTCCCTGCCAGCCCCCTGCCAGCCCTGCTGCAACCCGCCCCGAGGGAAGAGGGCAGCTGGAGGGCCGAGGAGGGCTGTGCAGGAGCTCAGAGAGGGATGGCTGCACTCACAGGAGGTTTGTGACCGATGACTCTGACATGGACGTGCGGCTGGGCATGGAGGGCAGCGCCAGCTTGGCAGCCGAGTGCACGTGGCCACCCTGGGAGTTGGGAGGACAAGGCTGGCGTCAGGACAGCAAGGACAGGTCCCCACTGCTTAGCCAGAGGGTGAACATGAGGGGAACCTCTCCTGCCAGTGCCATTCTGCTGCCTGTACCTGATCAACAAAGCTGATAGCATCACGGATGTTCAGCTTGTAGTAAACATCCCAGATCTCATCCCGCAGCCTGTAGGCAGATTTCCGCATCAGGAGCTGGCTCAGGTACTTCTTGTCAAACTGCTCCCACCTGCCATGAGATGAAGACACAGGCAGTTCAGCTCCCATGGGCTACCACGGCCAGGGATATCCACACAAGGCTGAGTGTCCCAAGTGCAGCAAAGGGAGGCTGGGCACGCAGGACCTGGCTGTGCAGAGGGACACACTGCCAGGGAGAGCAGGAGGGGAGGGGACATGGTGACCCTTCAGCCTGCCCAAGGGGAAACCAGACACTATCGGGTCTGTGAGAGGCAGTGGGAGTAGGACTGGGGCCACCCTGCTGGAGCACTTCCCCTGCAGGAAACAGGCTTTTTGCATCCTTTTCCTGTCCCTGTGCTGCAGATAAACACTGCCCAGGCAGGAACAGGGCTGTTCCCTCCTCAGTGCCCAGCATAGTTCCATCCATGAGGAGGCAGAGGGCCGTTGCCACCAGCATGGACACCCCAAGTTCTGACCTTGCCAAGCAATGTCAGCTCCACAGCACCCCAACCTGACCTCTCTCTGGGATGCTTTCGTCATCTTGGTCTGCTGCACCACAGCAGCAGATGGTACCTATCCAGACTGATGGACAGACACACAGCCTTCCTGTCCACAGGAAGGGGTGTCCTCCTGTGAGAGCCCCAAGGTGTCCCTGTGGCTGGCATGCATCTCCCATTCACTAACAGTCAGCAGAGGATCCTGTCTAAGACACTCACTTGTCCCGCCAGTAGTGGTAGCCGTGGTGCCCCACGATGTCCTCCACCGCTGCCAAGATGTGGTCAAAGGCCTTGAGTGAGGGAAGAGGGTGAGTGGTGGCAAGGCTGTGGGTGCCCCAGGGATGCCAAGGTCATACATGGTCCTTGCCCAGCCCCACAGGTGAGGGGAGCTGGGGAGCCTCTGGCACTGTCACTTACGTGCTCGTGCAGCTCCTCGTTCAGCGTGGGTTTGTGGTGGTCACTACGCTTCACCTTCAGCCACGTCACCAGGGGTTTGATGGTGAGGCCCTAGAATGGCAGGAGAAGGCAAGGGAAAGACCGGGAGGGCGAGAGGGTGCATGGCTGGGGCATGGGGAGCAGAAGCAGCACGAAGTGACTGGGGACAGTGGCTGTACCAGCCATGTGTGCCCCTGTAAACCCGACCCCTGTGCCATGGCGTGCACCCCCAATCATCCTTCCCCTAGACTCATATTCATCCTCGCCATGGCTTCCCTTCCTAGGGTGCTGAACGCCAGAGCTGGGGCCCATCAGCAGCTTTGTAAAGAGAACAGCCTGGACAGGCTGGCACTCTTGGAGCTCCTGGAGCCAGTCCAACCAGAACAAAATGCCAGCAGGAAAAGAAGGTGCCCATGGCCCCACCACTGCAGCAGTCCCCACAGCAGCCCTGCACACCTGCTGATGGATGGGGTGCCAGAAAGCACTGAGGACCAAAGGTCACTTTAAAAAGACACTTTCCCAAAGCACATGTCCCCAGGCCAGTTCTGGGGCAAGAAAGCAGCACTGGAGGAGGGCACAGTGCCCATCCTCACCTGCACAATGACAGTGAAGAACACCACCACGATGGTCGTTGCCACAAAGTAGTCCTTGGCTTTCACCTTTTCCCTGTCCAGCAGGATGACCAGGGCAAAGGCCACAGCCCCACGGAGGCCTCCATATGACATGACCACCTGGTCGATCCTGTCCAGGGGGATGAGGCGGAAGCGGTTGAGCACGTATGTTTGGAGAACAACACCTGGGGAAGAAGGAGGAGGAGAGCCTGGAATGTTGGGAGAACCCTGCCTGCTCCAGCAGCACAGCACAACATCCCAGCCAGGATGTATGGCTGGCCTTGTGCCCCAACTTTCCTGGGCAATATCCCTTTTTGGCACGAAAAGGGCTGTGTGCCACCAGCCATAAGCACAGCAGGACAGACTGACCCACGGCTCTGAAGAGCAGAATAAAGAAGAGGGTGCCCAGCACCAGTGCTGTGTCCCATGTCCACTTGGAGGTGTCCACAGCTGAGATGCCCAGAAACATGAAGATGATGGTCTCTGAGCTGCTGGCCAGTGTCTTCATGGTGTACTTGACCGTGGTGCGGGATTTCTGGGAGATGTTGGCTTCCACGTACTTCTTGCAGCAGATCCCACAGAAGGTGACTCTGCAGAGGGGCAGGAGGAGATGGCATGGCCCTATGGCAGGATGAGGAGTGGGTCTACTCACTGCCTCTTGCTGCTCAGCACTGCATCCCCAATTTCCTGGGTTCCCCTGGGGGACACCCCAGTACTCACGCCAGGATGGCGGAGAGCGAGACCATCTCGGCAGCGAGGTAGGCGACGTAGGCCAGGAGGAAGACGAAGAGAGGCTCGATGATGCGCACGCGCTTGGTGAACCGCGTGATCAGCGCCAGCAGGAAGGCGAAGAGCAGCCCCACGGCTGTGCCCCCCAGGCTCACCAGGAAGAAGGAGGCTGGTGGGAGGAGAAGTCTCGTGTGAACCGTAAGGAAGTGGGCCCAGCTCCTGTGCCTCACAGCCATGCCATGCTGGCCAAGTGCCACGTTCCCACCCAGGTCCCCTCCAAAGCATCCCATGGAGCACAAAGCTTTGGATGATCCCAAAGCATCCCCTGGAGCACCCCTGCTCTGGGGATAGGCTGATAGAGTTGGGGTTATTCAGCCTGGAGGAGACCCTGGGGAGACCTCAGAAGCCCTTCCAGTAGCTGAAGAGTACTCCAAAAGAGCTGGAGAGGGACTTTTGACATGGAGATGGAATAACAGGACAAGAGGGAATGGCTTCAAACTGACAGAGGGCAGGATTAGATTGGGTATTAGGAAGAAATTCTTCCCTGTGAGGGTGGTGAGGCCCTGGCACAGACTGGCTGTCCCATCCCTGCAAGTGTTCAAGGCCAGGCTGGAGGGGTCTAGTGGAAGGTGTCCCAGCCCATGGCAGCGGGGGCTGGAACAAGATGAGCTTTAGGGTCCCTTCCAGCCCAAACAATTCTGCAGTTCTATGCTGATGGCCAGCATGTGACACATGGAGATGACAGAGTTGTGGTGCTCAGTGCCCACCCCACAGGACAACAGCTCCTGTGCTTGCCCCCCTCCACTTCCACAGCAGAGGAGGAGGTGGAGGGGCTGGTGTGGCAATTACTCACCTACCCCCTTCACGTAGTCGGTGGCGTGGATGTGCGCTGGGCCCAGCTCCACAAAAGAGTTGAAGACCTTGTACAGCACCTGCAGGGAAGGCAAATCCCTTGAGAAACAAAGGGCATTGCCCTGCCTTGAGAGGGGCAGGAAGGGTCCTGTGGAAGAGGCCTTTTCCACCCCAAACCTGTCAGGTAACAGCTCATTTCAGCAAAGTCTCCCAGGGCCAGGAGAGAGGAAAGGCCAAGAGAGCATGGCATGGGTCTACCCCAGCTCAGGGATGTCACCTGCATCCTCTGCCCATCCTGGGGAATTCCAGCACCTTGGACCATGTTGGGCTCAACATTAGAGTCCCTCAAGCTGCAACTCACCACGGTGACAGCATCATTCAGGAGAGACTCGCCAAACACAATGATGAAGAGGGTCTCGTTAACATGGACCTCTTCAAAGACAGCCAGGACTGCCACAGGGTCCACAGCTGAAATCAGGCTGCCAAAGAGCAGGAAATCCATCAGCCCAGCTTCAACACCTGGATCTGTTAGGACAGAAGGATCAAGGTCAGGCAAGCTAGCCACCCCAGAGCCCCTCTCACCAGGTGGAAACAAGCCTGTCCCTCATCTGATCCCAGTGACTTGGCTGCAGCATCTCAACTGGGAGAGCAGTGGGATGAGCCCAAAAGTGTTCCCAGACCTCCAGGATGCCCCTGGAAAAGTGGGACTTGGTGCCTTCTTGCTGCAACATGAGAGGAGCATAAGGGATGTCCCTGTTGGCACCCAGGTGCATCACTGCTCCTCCAGCAGGTACCACCAGAGGTGGCTCAGCAGCCCCACCTCGGGTCCAGGCACCAAGTGGCTCCTCAGGGCTCAGGAGAGCTCAAAACACAGCCCAGGCCAGCCAGGGCCAGCGGTTCCAGCCAAGGACAGGGAACATGGCAGCAAGCCAGCAATGCTAGTCAAGGCTGGCAGACAAAAATAGCAAGACATGAGTCAGCCCAGTGCCAAGCAGGGCCCGTCTGTCCTGCACGCTTGACCGTCCTGCCAGAGCACCATTCCCAGGAAGTCAGGACCCTGCTCGTGCTGCAATTCCTAGGAATCCACAGCAGGGAGAGGCAGTGGGCTATGAAACTGGGGGTGCTTTGCACCTCTAACCTGTTTTTTGGGGGTGTGGCCCAAGCTGGGCAGCCCTGCACACCCACCCATGAGCCCGGCCCGGTGCAGTCCCCAGAGCGCGGTGCCGGTGGCGAAGGAGTTCCAGAGCGTGCCCACCACGGCGTAGGTGAGGATGGCACCGATGTTGTCGAAGAACAGCCGGCTGGGCATGAAGTACCCCGAGTCCAGGACGATGGGGGGCAGAAGGAAGAGGAAGAACATGTTGGGCTCCAGCTGGTACTCGGCTTTCTTTGCCACGGCCAACACGATGCCCCCCAGGCCCAGCCCCAGCAGGATGAGAAGGCAGCTCTCCGGGACGACGGATGTCACCTTCCTTGACAGGTGGAAAACTAGAAGAAGAATGAGAGGATCAGCCAAACAGGCACATGGACAGAGCATCCCAAATCCACAGGCTTCACAGAAGGGTTGGGTGATGCATGATGGATGGGAGGAGAACAAGGGAGCACCTATGGGAAAATTGCTTCATGGCCACATATGCACAAAAAACCTTCCAGCTATCTCCCAGGTCAGGATTTCAGGTCCCTGACTCTTTAGGATTTCCCTCTCCCTCTCAGCCACTGTCTAATAAGCCAATCAGCCAGGCATTTTACTTTTCTTGGCTTCTGGTATCTGCACTTGAAGGTTTAAAGCAGGCAGCGAGCACGTTCACAGTGTCACGAGCGCTGCTGGCTGCTGTTCAGGTGAAGAAATCCTGGTACACCGGGACACGTTACCCCACTCGGAGACGAGGATGCTCAGCCCTGGTGACAGGGTGACCTTGTTTGCATCTGTCTGAGCAAGAAACCAGAGCAGCATGCAAACCACTGCAGCACAACCTCCCTCAGCACCAGCTAACCTACCTGCATCCAACAACACAGGCACTTGGGAGCTGCAGATTCAGAGATGCTTGGAATAATCAGTTTATTCCATGCAAGGTTGGGGCCAAATCTTAAGCTGCCATGGAACAGGCTGTATTTTCTAAAGCAGACAGAGGATGCCCTGGTATTCATCCATCAGTAAGGCAGCAGCGAGCCTGTGCTCAGGCACAAGCCAGCAGGGTGCCCTGCCAGCCAGCACAGGAGATTTGTTCCTCCAGGCACCCTTGTCCCCCAAGTCAGGGTGTCCTGTGTAACCCCAAATCAGTCCAGCTTCCAGGCAGGCAACCCCCATCCCTGGGGGTTTCTCCTCGCTAGCACAGAGTGCTGTATTGTTGCTGCCCCTCCAAAAGGGCATTGCTTGAGGAAAGGCTATTGACAGTCACAGTGATTTTGTCCCCCATCACTGAGTTCTGCCATCATTTGTGCCATCCAGCTCAGTTCTGTGGCATGACTTGACCACCAGATGAAGAAAGCTCCTGGGGAGTGGATTCCTCCTGGTACTTTGAGAGCAGCCTCTGTCCCTGTGCACCCAGCAGGTACAGGGGACATTAGGGTAGGCTCTGAACCATCGCTTGGCTGCAAGCCCAGCCCTGCTGCCAACCCCAAAACCCAGTCCCTAAAGCCCTTTAGCTGGACTAAAGGTGCCCATTGCCTGTGCCAAGCTGCCCCTCCAGAAGGGGGGCATGCTATGGTCATGCACCAACCCTGGGTCACTTAGCTGCTTCCCTCCTTTGGAACCCCAGTGGACAGAGCACAAGGTCTGCCTAGCCCAGGGTGCTGTCTCCAGCACCACAGACTTGGAGAAGAGCCCAGGAACAGGCAGTATTTCATCAGTAGGTTTCCATGCATCTATGCCCTTGTCATTTTCCTCTGAACCTGTCCTGCTCCTGCTCTATCCTTCTGGGACAGGTCCCAGTGTCCCTGAGATGTGGACAACCAGAGAACTGAGGCTGTGGCCTCCTGATGTTCTTCCTTTCTCCTTTCCCAGCATCTCTTAGGTGATTTTCTTTCCTTCACAGCAGCTGAGCTCTGAATTAGAGGAGATAATTGAATGACAAAGATCTGGTTTACAACCAGAGACAACATCTTTGAGCCCACCGCCCACTGTGCAGGCTGAGGACCACTTTTCCTTTAGTTGAGGACCTCAAGAGGTTGCTGCTTGGCACAGTAAGCTCCATCCATGCCCCAGCACTGGCTCCCTGCCATAATACAGCAGGAGCACTGCTGCAGCCAGCAGGGGCAGAGCAGTGAGCACAGGGGCAGCATGATCTGCAGCTCCACCCCCGAGCACCTCAATAGCAAAGAGCAGCCAGGCCAAGGGTCTCTGCCACTGCACACCCGGGCACAGAGCCCAGGGCACCCCCTGAGCCCCAGCCACCTCTGCTCACTGCTGGGGGACTGTGCAGATAGGGACACTACAGCCCTCCAAGCAGACCCACAGCCTGAGGAAACGCTGGCTGGGCTTCATCCAGGCCAAATTCCTGCTAAATGACCACACAAGTCACTGCAGAGCCCTGTTCACCCCACACAAGCTGCTTTCACCGGTGGACAAATGGTGCTCACTCAGCGCCTGCAGCAGGCTGTGCAGCCGCTTCCCACCCACGGGAACAAAGCTCTGAAGTTTTCAAGAAGGGAACGAGGCGTCCAGCCCCTTTCTGCATTCTCAGGAACATTGCCAAGATCCCTGCTCTCTGCTTCGGCAGCCCATCTGCATTTCTCGTGCTGTGGAGCTGTCCTGGCTGGCTGGGGATGCTGTGGGGACATGGGTCATCCATCCTGGAAGTGTTCAAGGCCAGGCTGGATGGGGCTTTGAGCAACTTAGTCTAATGGAAGGTGTCTCTGCCCATGGAAAAAGAAATCCATGGTAGCTGGAAAAGGATAATCTCTAAAGTTCCTTCCAACTCAAACCATTCTATGGTTCTATGATTGTTTTCACCAAGCCAAAAACTTGGTCAAATAAAGGAGGAGCATCAATGGGAAAGATCATGCTTGTCCAAAAATCTGCTGGCTGATGGAAAAGCTGCCAGCCTCCCCAGGAAATGGCAGCACATGAGCTCCCCTGTGTCACGGAGAGCAGCCAGTGGGGACAGACTGAACGAGCTCTAATTTTATACTAGTCAGGGATTTCAGCACTAAAGGTTCCCACAGCAACAGTAACTTAGCCACATGTGAATTAACTTCAGAGACATAATCATACTCAGGCATCTATAATAAAGGATTTGCCATCGAGAGAACTCAGGGCCAAAACCTGCTCTGCTCCTCAAGAGCTTGGGAAATGGCAGAACACCTAAACCAAGACATGAGCAGCTGGGGACAGAGGTGATGGTGTGAGGAGAGATGGTTGCAGTGCTGCTGCATAGAAATACATCTGTCTGCTGGCAAACTCCTGCCTGTGGGGCAGCTGTGTGTAAGGAGAATGTTTGGGGACAATGCTCATCACCTCTGTGCTGCCCATCCTGTGCTCTGACTGTGGATGGAAAAGGCAGCAAAGCCCGGATGATGCCTCGCTGTGCAGGAAGGCAACACCCAAGCCAGTTTTTCCCTGCCCCGGGTGTTTGCTGGCTTGGGTCACCCCAGCATCGTGACTGCCTCTGAGAACAGAGCCCACAGTGTCGTTTCCCCATCACACGGGCGTGGGGCCGCTTCCTCCCCTGCAGTCACAGGGCTGTGAGCTGCCAGCCCAGCGCCACAACCACAATGGTTCCTGTGCGCCAGCCTACGCCCACCGTCCGTGGCTGCCACAGCTGGCACTGCCCTCTCCGCTCCCCAAAATCCTCCACCCCTGGTTCATCTCCTCTGTGGACTCCTGTGCACCCTGGGGAGCACAGGTGCCATCTCTGGGGACACCCGTGGCAGGCTGCTGCCTGCAGGTCTGGGTGTGGCTATTGGCTCCAGGCTCTGAGGCTCCATCGGACCCACTGGACACACTAAACCTGGCAGCTGGAAGCTATCAGCCATCAGGGCTGTGTCTCACAGAAAGATGAGAGTGCCCATCAGCCTCAGGCCTGGAAGAATGTGGCAAATCACAGGACCTGGGAATGGTCCCAGCTCAGGCCCCCCTGCACCCCCCACACAAAATCCGGGGTGGCTGAGGGAAGCACATCAATGGAAACCTGCACAGGGAGCAACTCCAGGGAGAGGCTGGAGAGAAGAAAATAACAGCCAGGGAAAGGAATTTTCTCTCTGATCTTCTGCAGGTAGGAGGGACGCTCTCGGCAGCTGGAGGTGGCACAGCTACAGCAGAGTGCTGTATTTTTAAACTCATGATACCTTTTAATTCATTCCTCGCGAGGCTTTAGGTCTCTCTTGCAAGAAGGCAAGGAAGGAGAGGAACGGGAGATCCACAATGATGCTGGGACAGGAAGAGGCCAGCTGGTGGTCACAGCTGTAGCTGTCTCCTGTGTAATGAGTGCTCCTGGACATCCCTGGCTGATCAGACATTCCCCTGCCCAACTCTGAACCCACAACTCGAAACTCAGAGGGTGTCTGTGCCCTCACCAAGGGGGCTGTGCCCACAGTGGGGTCCCTGAAGAGAGAACCTGGCTCAAGGTCACGATCCCATCCCCTGGGCCCAGCACAGCAGGGAGGGGCACTGTGGGGGACCAGCCCCCTGGGTACTCCTGCTTGGCACCCACGCACGGGTGTCCCCTCCCCAGCACCCCGGATGCCAGTGGGGAGCCCAGCCCTGCACAGCTCACCCACATCCTCATTGTGCCTTCCCACACAGCCTCGCACAGCAGAGCCTCCCCCGGCTGCATGGTTCTGTGCTGGGGAGCACAGGAGTCCAAGGCCAACCCCATCTGGAGTGACCCACTGGAGGGGACTGCAGGGACCTGCCATCCCCAGGCTGCTGGGGGCACATCCTGCCTGGCACTGACACCACTGAGCCTTTCCCCGGGGCTGTGGGGGAACAATGGCCCTGCCAACGGCAGGTGCTGTGCCAGCCTTCGGGAACACGGGACATCCTCTGGGGCTTCTCTTCTCATGAACCCTCCATCCTCTGTGCCCATCCATCCATCCATCCATCCATCCATCCATCCATCCATCCATCCATCCATCCATCCATCCATCCATCCATTCCTCGCAGGAAAAAAACAGCCCGGGCCCCCACCTTTTCCTTCGGGTGCTGCCTTAACCCCGTCACCGCACATCATCCCACGGCAGGGCACGAAGGATGTGGCGTGGTCCCCGACCTCTGCAATCCAGTGAGAGCGCTGCCCAGCCGGATTTGTCCCTGTCACCCGTGTCCCGGCGTGCGGTGACACCCCTCGTCCCGGTGCCCCCGCGCCCGCCGGGGATGCCGCATCGCCGCTGCCTGCCCCACGTCTGCTCCCGGGGGCCCGGAGCGGGTGGGGACACGGGGACACTCACCGATCTTGGCCAGGCTGGCTACCAGGATCCAGGCGGCCACCAGGCAGGGCGCCTGCACCTCCCGCCACTGCCACCGCAGCAGCTCAGCTCCCGCCGGGGCGGCGGGGCCGGCGGAGGCCGCCGGGGGCTGCATGGCCCCGCTCCGCTCCGCTCCGTTCCGTTCCGCTCCTCCGCGGTCCCGGCCCCGGCCCCCGCCCGCGTCACGCGCACGTGGGGATGCGCCGGGACGGCCCCCGCGCCCCACGCCACGGCCACGGCCCCGCCCGCCGCCACCGGCCCGCCCCGCACCTCCCCGCTGCTGTCCCAGCCCTCAGCACCCGCCCCGGAGCCCCGCACCCCCCTGCTCACCCCTCACATTCCCCAGCTCATCTGCACACTCCCGGAGCCCCCGGCCCCAGCCTAGTCCCCTGTGTCGCTCTCGGTCCTCTCTGCAACTGTCCCGGTGTCACTTGCATCACCCTAATCTCCCTCGCCCTCCCCCCGTGCCTCTGCTTCGTCTGAGTCTCTCCACTCTGGCTTAGTCCTCAGGCACCCACCAAATTCCCCATCCCCCTCCCAGCTGAAACCATCTGCCCCTGCCCCAGGTGCTGCCTGAACACACCCATGGGCAGCCCCCAAAATTTCTGTCTCCCTTTACCTCCTCAGCCCCCCTCAATACTCCTAAAATCTCCTGTTTGCTGATTAGGCCATCCACCATGCCCTGGCAGGTGCTCCATCTCCCACACCCCATCCCTGAGCCTCCCACGTTCTGGGTGGGCAGCCCAGAGAGACGGGATGCTGGCAGAGTGCTCCATGGAGAGCCAGCTCTGACTGTGCCCACATGTCCCTGGAGGACAGGACACGACACCTTAGCCAGAGCAAGACCTCTGGCTGGCAGTGCCTGTGGCATGGGCACTCTCAGATGCTGAGTGCCAGCTTGAGCCCACTGGCCAGGTAGGAATGGGCCACAGGACACTTCCCTGGGGGCCTCGGTGGCATCACCTTTTCTCATCTCTCTGCCTGGGTACCAGTGTGCTACAAATGTTTGCCAGCAGAAGCCAACGGCTGGGGAACGCAGCTGGAGGCAGGAACAAGGGGAAAGCTCCTTGCCCACCACCCCATCACATCTGATCACTGTCATTGTCCAGGTAACCTGTCAAAAAGAAAGTAAAATGGGTTTTACACAAGCTTTACTTTGCAGTTTGAGCTCAGTATGCCCCACTTCCAGGGCAGCACCACAACACCCCTGGATCCAGGAAGCTCATCCTGTGCTGCTTCCCCCGTGCCCCGGGATGGGGAGATTGAGCCCAGCTGCCCATCCGTGCTCACCTGGAACCTCATGGGGCCTGGAGCATCCTGGAGCATCCCAGTGCTGCCCCACAGGACCTGGAGCACCCCTGACGCCGGAGCAGCCTGGGGTCTGGAGATCCTCGATACGGGGGCACCCTGATGGAGCCCCCCAGAACGCGGCGCATCCATCCTGGAGCACCCCCTGATGCCGGAGCGTTCCAGTGGAGCCCCCCAGAGCCTGAAGCATCCCGGTGCCTGGAGCATCCTTCCCGGCCGGGCCCGCGGGAGGGCGCAGCGAGCGGCGAGCGGCTCTCCGGGGCCGGGCAGGGCGAGGGGGCCGGGCCCAGCCCGTGCCCGCCCCGGGAGCGGCGTCGCACGGGGCCGCGGCGGCGGCGGGGCCATGGCGGTGGCGGAGGCGGCGGAGGCGACGGTGCCGTGCCGGGTGCAGTACCTGGAGGACGCGGATCCCTTCGCCTTCGGCAGCTTCCCGGAGCCCCGGCGAGCCCCGGTGTACGCCCTGGAGGAGGCGCTGGCCCTGGGGGCGCAGCTGCCCGCGCTGCACCGCCTGGTCGGGGCCCCGCTGCCGGTGAGCGGGGACGGGGACGGCGGGGAAAGCCCCGTGCGGTGGGAATTGCCGGCTGGAGGGGACCGGGGGGGGCGAGGGATCGGACGGCGTGTCCCCGGGGTGAGCCTGCGGGAGATGCCAGCCTCGGCCGCCCCTCGTGAGTCGGCGGGAGGAAGAGGATGTGCCGCTCAGAGCGGAGGAACCGTGGCAGGGGGAAGCGGGATGAAGGCACGCGTCCATCCCCGTGTGGTCGGGCTGAGGCAGGCGGCGTGTTCCGCCCCGGCCTCGCACTTCCACGCCGGGAGCGGAGCGCACCGCTCCGCCTGGGACACTTCCAGTGTTGCTTCTTGCTGCGGCTCCTGGAGCTTGGGGAGGTGATGGTGCGGGCGGACGGCCCCCAGCCCCTCATCCCAGCGGTCCGGCAGCAGCTTTGTCAGCGGAGAGCAGTACGGAAATGTATGCTGAGCAATTTCCTTCAGCTGGCAGGAAGGCAGGAGGCTGGATGTGAAGCGAGGCACCCGTGCCTTGTTTGTGTGTCCTCAAGTCTGGCTCGGGCTGGGAAGTGGGGGGGAAAGGGGAGACAGGGCACCCTCCCTGTGTACCTGCTGTGGGTGTGATGCTCTCGGAGCATCCTTCTCAGGATGGGGACAGGCTTGTTTTCTTCTTTAGGAACGCGGGACCCAGCAGAGCTTGGCAATAGCTGAGCATCTCCGTCCTGCAGCGCTACGGGAGTGCAGGGAAGGGAGGCAGGAACCCCGGCTGGCTGGGGGGAGCTCCGCTCAGAGCTAGAGCGGAGAGATGGAGCAGCAGGAGGGTGAAATTCAGCTCGTTGTGCCCGACACTGAGCTTGCTGACCTTCCAGGGGAGAGGCGATCACTTTGAGACCTTTGCCTGCACAAAAAAAAAGAAAAAAAAACGTCCCGTTTATTCCCCTTTTCATTTTTCTTGGAGCAAAGAAGCAGCGTCTCATGTCGCCGTCATGGGATTTTTAGGTGGTGACTAAGGGGAGTTTGTTTGGGAACAAACAGCCTGGAGACATGACGAATGGAGCAAACTCAAGTTTCAGGCGTGTGCAGGAGCTGGGCAGGAGCTGGCTGTAACGGGATCCCCAGCCCTGGGTGCTGCCATGGTGGCACAGGGCAGTGGAGGGGGAGGGGAGACTGGACACTGCGTTCCCGAGGGCGGGAGCGTTGCAAGGAGGTCCTGTGCCCACCAGAAATGTGTCGATCCTGGGATTTCAGGCTCTGTTCTCTACCTAAACCAAGCTCTGGATATTTTTTCCCTGTATCATCCCATTCACCCTTGGTGAAACCACAGGTGAACAGCCTGGATCCTGTTCTGGGTTTTTAAACCAGATTTCTGGATTATATAGATTATAAACCATGCTGCCTTTAGCAGGCAGCGCTCTCTGAGCAGCGAGGGCTGCAGAATGCCCCACCTGACAGGCTGGGATGCTGGCTGGGGTTTGCATGAGCAAATGTGCTCACTGGGAGCCTCCCACAGCGGGATTCACAGCCTGTGCAGTGATGTCGGTCTCCCAGGCCACTCAGTTCAGTCAAAATTCAGAGCTGGCACTCTTGGAGCCATGCAGATGTCGTTCCCCTGGCATGACCAGCCAAAGCCTCCCCTGGTGCCTTTTGTGCCAGGTAGCACTCAGCTCCATTAGTCACCACCCTAAAATTAGTAGATGAACACTCCGATTTTTCCCAAGGAACTGGCTGTAAAAAAATTCATCTGGGAATGCCAGGTGCCAGGTTTGTCCTGCTGGGCTCATGCCCGGACCTGCAGAGCACTGGAGGAGGATGCAGCAGCCAGGAGGGAGCTGGGCTGGGGTACCCTCATTGCTGGAGGAAGACTGAGCCGCAGGCACCCAGGGGATGAGCTGCCATGGGAGAGCAGCTGAGTCCTACTCTTGCTGGGCCCAGCTAAGCAGCCCCTGTGCTGGGGACAGCTTAGAGATGATGAGCAAGAGGTTTCTGGTGCAAGCATCACTGCCTTGAATAGCCTGTCCTGCCCCATGACACCCTTGGTGCTTCCTCTCCCTGAACATGATCTGTCACTGATGACTTTTTCATGCTCTCCGGGAAGTGTGTTTGTGCTTGGAAATACCTTCCTGCTTTGTTTGCTGCTGCTGCATTGTTTGCCTCCAGGCTGATACTATCTTCTCAGCTTTCCAGCATTTTTCTAGTACCCTTGGGTGATGCTTGTGCAGGGCGTGGCCATTCTCTGAACCTCTGCAGGCAGGTTTTGACAGGGCAGGTTTTTTTGGCTGTCCTTTAAGTCCCCAAATGCCCCTGAGCACTATCTCGCCTCTGAATCTGGGGATTTTTCCAAACAATTGCAAAACCCATCAGGCTAGATTTTTACATTCTCCTTCCTCCCCCGGAAATCTGGGAAGAGCAAACAGTTCACTGGCCTCAGTGCCATAAACTTGCTGAGAGCTCTTGTACTCAGTAGATGTGCTGGTGGGGCAATCTCTGTGTGTGAAGTGAGCAATCCCCATCCCACGGCCCTGGTGCCCTCTGTTTCCTGACAGGCTTGAGGAGGGCTTTGGTGAGAGTCTTTGCCCCACTTCACCCCTGGACTGCACAAAAGCAGTGAGGAGGGGTCAGCAGCAGCACTGAGTGTTGGTGCTCAGCAGCCCCCAGCACTCCCCAGCTCCCAGCACGCATCCCAACAAGGATCCATTCCTTGCATGGATCCCTGGAAGGGAGATGCAGCCAGGCATTCATGCCATGGCTTTTCCACGACACCAACTGCTGCCACAGCTCTGTCGATGAGCAGTGAGCCCTGGAGGAGCTTCCAGAGGGAAGCAGGTTTGCACTTCTGGCCTGACTCTGGGTGACCTCCAGAGATCCCTCCTGGCTTGGGTATTATTTCCTGCCCCCAGAAGGCAGTGGCAGTGTTCTCATCCATCTGCTGCCATCCATCATGCAGGAGTGGACAAGCACCTGGGTGCCCTGGCAGTGGACACCCCTCTTAGCCCTGCAACTAAATTGTGGTGAATGCACTTGGCTGGGGTTGGGGTGGGTCCTGTGGCTGGTGTAACTCTGTAAACCATCAGCCCCTGTGTGTTTTGGGAGGATGATGAGCAGCTGGTGATGCCAGGGCTTTCTGACCTGTCAGTGCCTTGTGTTTAACTGCTGCCTGGTATATTTAAATAATATATTTTTACTGTAATTTCCCCACAGGCTTTCTAGGAGAGCTGCAGCGACATTGGGAAATTGTGGTTACTGCAAAAAGAAAGTGTTAGAAAGGGGGTAAAAGTGTTTCCTTTGCAGGCAGATAAAGAGGATATTTGCTTCCTGGCCTTGGAGCATCCTCCCATGTCAGGGTGCTGTGATAGGAGTGAGCAGGAAAATGTGATGCTGTGGTGGGTGGTGTGAGTTTGTCTGT